TGCAAAGGGTTTTCCTTATTGGCTCTTGTTGTTATACTTAACACTTTGCCAAGGAGCTCTCTTGGGAAATGTTTCTGAGTTCCACTTGTACCTTTGTCAAACACGGCTACTTGGCGGTCAGCCCTTTTGGCAAATACATCTCCATCATTCGCACTCACATTTGAACATTTGAACGTTTCAATTTTCAAGTGGCGAGATTGGCCCACTTTGCAGCTGCCCGATGTTTCCTTCAAGACAGCTTTTAGCTTTGCCTCGGCCACATTGCATTCCTGGCCAGCTTGTTCCCTGTGAAGGGCCATATAGCTGCAACCCCAAAGTGATTCTATGTTTTATGAAAGGTGACATGTGCCAACAACAGTCGAGTCCTTGCCACATTCCTGGTCGACCTCTTGGCCCATTGTGATGTCAGTTGCATTGTTGTCGACCCGGTCGTGTAACTCGTGTTAGGACTCAGGGTGTGTGTTCTGCGGTTTCTTCTGCAACATGTTATGAGTTATTATAAACTTGAGTGGTTTTCAAGTGTGGCAACAGTTAGCAAATAGAAATGGAAACTTATAGTTCAGCACACAGTAATTAAATTAATTAAATTGCGAGTGAATTGTTTTTCGGTACTTTGAACTAGGCATCATAAAATGTTATAAAAATAGAATACAAATATCTTTTAATGTTTGCCAAGAATGTAATAGGTTGTGCAAATATGAAAGTCTACAAAATTGCAGTTTATATTTGCCGCAGGCTTATTATCTATGTAAATAAAAATAAAGCTAAAGCAATTAAGATTAAATTGTAAAGATACATAAATGCATTAATATTACATTTTAATTGAAATTAAAATATTGGTATCAATGCTTTGTAAGTTTGCAAAAAAACAACAACTATTATACATTTCAAATTTACTTCAAGACTTTATTTACAATGCAATATTTATTTGATCAAGCTTAAATTCGTTCGAGTCTTTAAGAAAAAAATTATCTTTTGGTGTAAACCCTTAAACTTAAATGTTTTCCGTTTCCAAAAACTTAACCGCAAGTGAAAATTGGCGTTCTTTTACTTAATTTTGAAGTCCGCTTCGGTTCAAATCTCAGCACACTAATTTATGCCGCTCCAGGCATGGCAGCTCACTTAATTTCCAGAGCCATTTTTCTTGGCCAAGTCGAAGGGAGCTGGAAGCGGGGTGAGGAGTGGGGAGTGGGAGGAGCGGATTCTGGAGCGGCAGAAAGGCGGCGACAAAGTGACAAACAACTAAGCGAAAATCGCGTGCGTGACGCGTGGCAGGAGCATAAAGTTTGTGACACGTTTCCCCAGTTGCATTTTGTTTTTATTTTTGCAGAGCAGCGAGCGAGTCCTTCGCGCCAAGGAGCAAAAAGGTTCGCAGCAAATGGTGATGGTGACACTTTACAGCCGCGTTGCATACTTTCGGGCGTTATGCAAGTCACGTTAATTCCGCCAGCCAACTGTGAAGGGAAAACAAAAACAATAACTCCAGCAACAGCAACAGCAACAGCAAAGTGTTGGCAAAACTTTTGCCATTTTCAAAGGACCCTAAAAGGTGGACGAGGCAAATCAAAATGTTCACCGTGCCACGGCACAAATACTTGTATAGTGCGACTAGTACTATATGTTTGCATCTTGTTTTTAGGGCCTCCTAGATATTACTTTTTGGGAAATTATGACCACCCTTTTTCTAGCGCCTTCGCTGGGAACTCATTAGGCGTGTTTATATAATATAAATTAGCTTAATTTGAAAACATTTTTTGATGCCAAAACTTTGCCTGTCTTTCCATCAGAAGATGCTCCGCTTTGCGAAGGGAAACGGAGGAGCGGCGAGTGAAAACTTCTGTCTCGGCTAATTTATATGCCCGTTGGACATTCTCGCGTTGGCCAAAAAGTTGCCGCCAACTTCCTCGTCTCCTGTTGCGGGTTAATAAGACGGCGACCAACAAATTGCCAACATTACTCTTTTCCGGCAAAAGAAGGAGGGGTGGGCACTGCTCGGGTCGGTTGCAAATAGACTTTTGAGTGTTGTACTTGGTTTCGCCTCGCCAGCAGGCTGTCTTGCCGGCTTTTGTCTTGTTGACTCTTTTGGGCCGCGCCGATTCAGTCTTTGCAAGTGTCAAAAGCGCAGGCAATTAATTTGGCCTAATTAGACTCTTGGCTGGCTGCTTGCCCGCTTCACTGGCTCCCCCTCCGCTTGCTTTCAACCCTCCGCAGAAACTGCAGATTTTGTGGCTTTTCAGTCTGTTAGAACCACAAAGGATTTTCGGCCTGTTGAGCGATTTATGGCTTAATGGAAAAGACTTATTTTAGGTAAGTTTGCGAGGGGGATGGAAAGGGATGAAAGGATATATTTTACGGAGCACTAATAAGTCAGGGAAATCTGAAAATTAAAGAAAACTTAAAAGCGTTGTGATTATATTTATCTTCTTCAGTTTTCAAAATAAATATTTGTGATTCATAAAAGTAATATATAAATCAGTAATCCATACAGTTAATTTTTGTTGAAGGTATTTAAACGTTCTTTAAACGTTCTACTGTTGTAATTTCTTTGGGGTGACAGCTGCATTCAACTGCCCTAGAACAACCATTGTAAAATGTGTTCCATCTTTTTGGAGCCTCTCGACTGCGGACAACTTGAATTGAAACTGTTTCGAATGCCTCTGTGCCAGGCCATAATTTGTTTAACAACTTTTGCCAATAGTTGGCACACCCCTTTTTCCTGCCTCCCCCTTTTTCCTGGACTTTTTCCGATTTTCCGTTGGCTGTCGGCCAATTTCTTCGGCGCCATTCGACACTGGCCGCTTATATAATAATTTTTCAGCATAATTTATGGGCGGCAAAAGTTTTCTGTGGCTGCCCAGTCGAACAATTGCCACTATAATGTTGTGGGCTCTAGCATTTCTCATATTATTCGAGCCAAAAAATGTTTGTTGCTCCGCCCAGGCGTGAACTATGCGGTCCAGCCTTCCGCCCACCGCATCCTCCTCCCCTTTCCTCCTGATGCCATAAATTCATGCAGCTCCGCTTATCGAAAGGAGGACATGGAAAACAGGACCCGGTCGGACCGAATGGCATGGAAGGCGTCAAAATTGATTTTAAATTGCATTCTTCGTTTGGTATTTCACTAAATAATGCCATAAATTGGGGCAATGGAATGGTTAATAGAATAGATATAGATAGCAGAGCCAATTTAAATGTCAAGTATTGAAAGGATATATGTGAATTATTTCCACCTGCAAGCTAAACTATCAAGGCCCTAAAACATATTTTACTCACAATAAAATAATAAATGGGGAAAATGTATATTTATTAATATATATATTATAAAGTATGTACATATTATATATTTTTGATCAACATCATGATCGGATTTGTTTCTATATAAACTAGTCTATTAGTTTAAAAGATATGTTGCTAAAATGTTGCTATTATTTTGGAACGAGCAGGATCGGGCTACTATATCGGATAGCTTTCAAAAACGCCATTCTGTTGATCGGTTATATTAAATCCAAGTATCATAAATAATGTCGTTGAAATCGTTCGGCCAAGCCCAACATATTCAACCAAAGCTCATTTGAAGTACCAGGCGAACAGAACGCAATAGTAGGTGGCACTCTTTTTTTTAAGTTATAGATGGACCAAAAATATGCTCAAAATGTTAGTGAGTGTGAGACATAAGCAAGAGCAATGCAACGGCACATTTTTTATGAGCCCCCAAAATTAAAATACATTTTTGATAGTTCTAGTCTATTTTGTGGAACAGGGCAGCAAAACAACTACGAACCGTTTTGAGGAGTCTCCGGCGACAATAATAAAAATCGAATTAATTAAAAAAAAAAAAAAAAGGAGAGTCTCTCGAAACCACTTTTGCGGGCAAAAGTTATCCTTCATGGACCACACTGTTGATGCAAACTATTCACTGTGGAAGTGGACAAAATCGCTTAAACGACAGCCCCTTAGACAGGTTCCTGTTCAATATGGTGAACTTGCAAAAAATGAAGAGGAGCAAGCCAATGCTTGCTTCCTTTCTTGTTTTTGGGTAAAATGTTTATAAGATAGAAATTGAGCTTAAATACTATATTTATAATATTTTTACAGTTCAACGGTTTTTAAATTGTTGACCTGATTTTTGAGGCGCATGTGGATTAGGGGGATTATTTCTCGCTGGAAGAAGGCTTCACCGGTTGTAATAATTACTCAAGTTCTTGCAATTCTGACCGATACTCAAGTGTGAATATATCCCACCCTCTAATTGCGACTGATAAGAGGTGTTTATTGGTTTCGAAATCGGAGACAACGCGGCACGGCTTGTCATACAAGTGCAGCAGCGGAAAGAGGTGTTTGCTTTGCGAAATATTCTGCTACAGCGATCTCTAAGCAAACAGAGATAAAAAGTGATCATTGCGATGGAACTGTGACTCACTAAAATTCAGATACAAAGGGGAGCTGAAGATACTGGAAAAAGCTCTAGATTTGTCATGTGAGCAAAACCAAAACAAAACTCCAAAGACTGAGAGAACTGTTCTGAGAAAGTACGCAAAGTTTGCAGCTGATATTGTAAGATAAATATCCAATTACACGGAAAGAAAATGTGGGTTCACTAACTCCATTTGAATTGTAAATTTTTGATTTTTTTCTAAATTTGAGAAGTAGGTTGAAAATTGTAGTGAGGTAAAAATTGTTTTTAGATCAAATTTAAATCGTCCTTGGATAAATGTGTTGTTTAAAGATTAACTGATCTCAAATTTCTCTGATTTTTGTTTAATGCCGGATTTTATAAAAAAAATTCACAACCGATCTTGAATTGTTTTTTTGAGTGTGGGAGCGGGAAAGCTTCGCAACAGGTGAGCTTGCGAAGCGGACCGATTGGCAGTGGAACGCGGGCTGAGCGCGCCTTTGAGCCGAGCTTTCCGCTCTGAGCCAAATTTGTTGTTGTTTCTTCTGCTACGAGATTGTGAGTGTATGTGGGTTTTTGTTGCTGGGCGCGGCCGCGGCGGCAGTTCGACGTGAACTCGCGAGCGGCCAACACGTAAGCGGCGCGTTGTGCAGCTGTTTAAAAAAAGACAGCCAAACAGAAAAAAAATAGCGGCAACAACAAAAACCCAACTCGATAATAGGCAGCGGCGCAACTGAAGTGTGAATTCATATATTGAGGTTATGTAACGCAAAATAGAAAATACGCGAAAACAAAACGCAGTTGCATTAAGTCAGGTCACACGCTCACCTCAAGAAAATAACGATAATTTCAAGCACGCGCCTTCGGTTAAGCAAATTCCGCATTCGCAATGGAGGAGGCTAAAGCTCAAGCGCAGGCGCAAAGTCATCCTTTGGAGGATGTTTCCCTCAATGGAAACGACGACGAGAAGCAGACGCCCAAAAATTGGGTTAAATTCGACGATGAGGCAGATAGCGGTGAAAAAAACAATAACAGTAACGACAGCAGTGCCACACAGCAACCACAACAACAACAACAACAAGAACAGCAGCAGCAACAACAAAACAAGTTAACTCTGCCGCCACCGCCGTCGGTGGTTAGCAGCAACAACAGGCGGGCGCGCTCGCGCAGTCCGTCGACAATAACAACAACAACACCTGTCCAGGTAACTTACTCACTCTCTCTCTTTGACTCCATTCCCCCATCTCGCTCTCTTCCTCTCTTTCTCTCACTTGCGGGTGACCCAACGCAACGAAACGCATTCCTATGCAAGTCAGGCCCTTGTTGTCGTCTTCTCGCTCGCACACTCGTTTATGCGGTACAGGAAACTCTCGGAATGGTGAACCATTCCCAATTAGGGCCTTCGTTGACCTTAAATTTCAATCAATAAAGTTAAGCTTCCATTAAAAAGATAGCAAGAGAGAACAGAAAAAGCAATCACAAAATTTGAAGGTTTTTATCTATTGTCACTTTTTGCCCATGAATTTGTGCTCTATCTTAGTATTCAAGAGAAAACAGCAAGTCAATATTAACAAAATAAAATTTAGAAAGGTAATCATTTTATATTTTCATATGTCCAATCAGAACCAAAATTTACAGCAATTTATTTGCCAAATTAAAGCCAAAAAAGAAGATGATATACATATAAAAAAACTATTACTACAGGTGGCTTTTCACTCATATGAAATATAATCAGTTCTGTCCGCCAGAGAATATATTTATTTTGATCACAATTGTATTTAATCAATGAGCATGAAATTGGCCGTAATTTATGTACGCTTTTTTCTCGATTAAATAATTCAGACATTATTTAGAATATATAAAAAACGAATTCTTCATTCAAATTTTTTCTGAAATTTGTACTTTTTACACCCAATGTTGTATTTTAAATGGGTAATTTCCTTTTCCCAGATTTTCATTGTCAAGTCTTTACCGTACTTTTGCTGATGTCGCTTAATGGAGTTGTTATGTGAAGTGGTTGGTTCTTAACTTTCTTTTCTTGATTTTGGGAACGTTGCACGCATGACAAATGAGGTTGGGAACCAGCTGAGAGTTGAAGTTAAAAACGAGTCCCATCCGGTGATAAACTATGAGTCAACCAAATTTTACTTGAGATTTTTCCATTCGGTTGTTTGCCAACATCCCACAAAAGTTCTGTAGAGAAATGTAAACAAATATCAATCTCGATTTTTCTATTTTTCTATGATTTTTGATTCAGTGGAGTCAGGGTTCAAATGTTACATTTAACTTAGTTCTGTTGTTTTTTATTCTTACAAACATTCTGTTCAATACTATATATTTATTTAGAAGTCCATACAGCAAGAAAATGTAAACAAAATGTGTATTCTGATGCCGACATGCGACTGTTGAAATATTTCACCTGCCATGCTGGTAATTTGCTTTTTTGCAGAAAATATTTATTATTTATCTTTGTATATTTTATATATTCACTCACTTCGCTGGTTGTCAACAGGCTGTGGCCTTAAAAAACTTTGCGAAACCCTGACACTTTCAATTCCGAAATGTTTATTATGCGACTGAATTTCAGCAGATTTATTTTGAGTTCGCGTTTCTTCTTGGAGTGAAGAAAAAAATTAGTCACAGCTAATTGAATAGAGTATTAGATCATGACTAAAATGACTTTGACGACCAATTTTACTTAACTAATCACCAGCAAGGTTACTATGACTTATTTATTTTCCAATGTTTGCATGAGAATAAAACAAACTTGGTAGTTCGCATTAGAGCTAACTTATTTGTAAATATTAAATTTCCGAAATTTATCGTTGTTTGTTTTTTTTCTTATCGGCAGAGATAGCAAAACTACAAATTTCAGGAAAAACAAAAACAATTGTGCTGCTGCATAAACGAAGTTTCAAGCTTTACAGTACATTTCAGTTAGAACTACAAGCGACGTGAGATTTATCTAAACAAAAACAAATAAACCGCTTTCGGCTGTTCAATAGTGGGCACCATTTAAAGGCACTGGATTACCTTCACAATTCTATTTTTGTTAACTTAAAAACGTGCCCTGCACCAAATTGTTTTCGGCTTGATTTGCAGTGCTCAAACTTATAGGTATATTCACGTTCACAACGATTTTAGCGGGCTCTTAAAGCCTGGCCAGAAATCAATAGAATTGATTTTGCTTGCCAATTTGCATAACTGTCTTGCTGGCTGACCCCGCGGGCCATTGTCGTCTTAAGGGCAAGAGCGTTGCAATATTAACCCATTATTGTTGGCATTTCGCAGCGACCGGCCGTTTCCTCGACCACAGCTGCAACAGCGGGCGAGGTACAGGCCCCTCTGCCGGATGTGGCACCCGCTGTCTTGACAACCGAGAGCACGCACGTTAATCTCAGTGCATCCGGCAGTGGCATTGTCAGCGGCTCAAGTGCGAATGCGAGTGCCAGTGCAACTGGATCAGGATCTGGACCGGCACGCCACCCCGCGCAGCTAATAAACCAAAAAGCCTCCGCTGCCCCCGCTCCATCCCCTGCTCCAGCTGCATCTTCGAGCCATCATCACAATGGAGGCGGTGCAAATGGTACTGGAATTAGCCAGCCGGCGGACCAGGGATCCGGGATGCGCACAATTGAACTTTCAACGGGACGCATCCGCGAAGGATTCGGTAAGCATTCATAAACCGATTAAAAACCTTTACAAATTCACTACCTATAAATTCATTATTTGGGAACTTTAAGGTACAATTTTCTGACATTTAAATAATTATGAAATTGTTTTGAAAACAAATTATCCTACTTTTACCTAGCTTTCTTTTTCATTATCCATTAACTAATTATTGCAGGAAATTAATAAAAACAATTGTGCTTGCATGAAAAAATTAAAGGTTTATTTGTTTACTTTTTAAATATGATAAATATCTGTGTAATGATGAATTTGATATTGGCTTCTGTACATAAAAAGTCATGATTGAATTATCCTTTAAATTAATCTTAACTGAGATATGATATATAATATATAAAATTAATTTTAAGAGTACCCAAATTGATAGATTGACTTATAACAAATTTATTTTTAAGTGTTTTGTTTTATGGCTTAAAATTAGTATGCTTGATGGGTAACTTTCGGAAATGGAAACTTAAAACCCTTTTTGGCCATTTTAATGAATTGGCATGAAAAAGCTTTTTAACTGATCATTTTATTCTATCTGAGAAACCAATGATACCATCCAAAAAATTTCCTGCTTATAATATTTTAAGAAATTGATTATTGTTTAAGACTGTTTGTAAATTGAATTTTGAAAATTTATTTTAATGAAACTCTTATTTCTTAGCAAATGGCGATGTGATTGTCACACTTTTGCCGGCCAACACGAAGTGGCCGTGGATAACGCCTGCCATATTCCGACCTGAGCTGGTGCCCGAGGAGCTGATGGCTCAGGGCCTGACGGTGAGCCCCTCTAGCAATTTTAATTATAACATATTAATTAAACGAAATTTCCAGCTCACCGTGGAGGACTACGTGAATGCGATGGAGACACTGGTTAATGATTACCGCTTCACGGTGTACAACATTTGCTACAAGCGCATCCTGGTCTGCTGGATCCTTTTCGCCTTTGCAGTCCTGCTGGCTCTGCTCTTTTCTGGGCTTCAGGGCGTGGCACTTTTTGCTCTGGGCGTAGGATGGCTCTTCCTGAACGCTGCAGCTATTTTCCTGTGCATGTGGGTGAAGTTGCGCCTGTCGAGAGGCCTTGAAAAATGTCTGGCGCGAGTGAACCGCCAGCTGATGCGCCACAAGATCCTTTTGGTGCTCGACGACCGAGGACGCATTTCCTGCCACAAGGTGAACCTTTGTTTTATGTACTTCGATGCCACGCAATGTGTGAGCTTTTTGAACGAGTTCCTGGAGCACACGGAGCAGACTGGCGGCGAAGCCATCAAGGCGGGCTGGGAGGCAAAGTTGGACATTGACCTCAACGATATTGTCATTCAGGGCAGCCAACCGGTGCGAATGCCCCGCAAGCAGGTGAGTTGGATAGTTCAAGTTTTTGCCTTTCGGAGGGGGTTGTTCTTAAGTAGGGGTAGTTGACTTCATCTCCATCTCCCCGGGATCGCACTCGCAACCCAAAAAAAAAGACACACACACGCGTTTCTCTCACTCACGCCCCGTCATGATCCAATTGTCTAACTGCTTTCTTTAGGCCGTTGCCCAGGAGCTGTTTCTGAGCTACCTGCAACGCTGGGGCAAGGACTTCCTGCGCCGCCGTCTGGATTGGACCGTCCAGGAGGCCGGCGTCCACGAGACGCCCCGCCATCTGCAGTCGTCCATCTGCCCGTGCCAATACGAGGAGGAGTTGTTGCGCAACAAGATCAAGATCAGCCTGCAGCATCGCCACTGCTGCGGCATCAACTGCATGGGCTGCTGGCTCTAATCGCTGATATGTAATTCCTGAAACGATCCCGTTCTTAGATCGCTGAGAATCTATTAAATGGAGTAGCAAAACCAGAGAAAACGTTTATCTTATTAATTCAGAATCTATTTGGTACGAGCTTTCCCTAGGCATACTTGCACTTAAAGAGCTTATTACGAATGTAAGATATTTTAAGCAAAGCAGCCCAAAGTAGATATTAGATTTTGTGTTCTAATGTAAAGGTAAAATCAATTTTAAATTTAATTTTGAAATAAAGTTTATTGATGAGAAAATGAGAATATCAAATTGTAGATGTTTTTTAAAACAAAATTCCTTGATTTGCAAAATAATGTTTGATTGTAAAAAAACAAATTCTAAAAATGTTAATGATTGTTTTTGTGTAATAAAAACAACAAGTTTTGATATATTTTTTTTTTTTTTAATATTGCGTTGCAGTAATTTAAATGTAAATTGAACTGTGATTTGAGAGTAAAATAATTTTGCTGTTATGAAATTCAAATATTATTTTAAGCAAATATTTGTAAATTTATTTCATTTAATCTGTTCGAAACATGTTGTTTTCTGTGTTTAGTGTATCCTAAGTATTTGCAGCTGCTGCCGAAAAGTATGCACTATCCGTAGTTATTACATAGATGTACTAATATCACGCCCCATTCGGTTGCCATTACCCACGTTCCTAACCCGACTTCTCACCTGCACCTGCACCTGCACATCCATACGCACGCTATATGTTTACCCCTCAAACTCACCACCCGATCTCCCCCGAATCTCCGCAGGAGCGCGGCATGCAGCTGTTCCTGCGCTACGGATCCCGCTGGGGCATGGAGGCCCTCCGGGGATTGGTGGATGTGACCCCTTTGGAGCCGGGACGCCACTGCGGACAGTTCCAGTGCCCCTGCCAGTACATCAAAGAGCACCTGCAGTGCAAACCGCGAGGCAAGTTCAAGTGTTGCAATTTAGTCCACTGGGTGATGGCATCTGAGCGCTACGATATCGATCGCTAGAGCTTCTTGTGAATGTCTGTGTGCTGTAACTAAATAATGAATTTACCCAGCGAGCTATTTTGAGGCTTTGCTTGAGACCCACGAATTTACCTAATATCGGGAACAAACCAATAAGCTAGCGGACGGAATTCAATTGACCGTTTTTCATTACTTCTCCGCCTTTTATGCCATTGATCAACTCTCTTTCGTTTCAGATGTTAGCCCATAAGGCTGAGGCGAAGTTTGGGGGTCCTTGGCATCTCTTCTTCTTTCCTTATCTATAACTTTTCCCCATACGCTTAACTATGTGTTTGCTAAATTAATCCTTGATATATTTCTTATTTTTTGATCAACCACGTTTCTTTTCTTGCTTTCGAAATTGAACACAAAACAGTTGCCATAAATAGCATTGGCCAAGTAGTTTGGACCCGATTCCCCTTGTTTGGTGGCTAGAGATTTAGCTGGTTGTTGGCCACAATAACACCCAATCCCCAACACGATTTGGTAGAACCCCGAAATACTAAGCCGTTTCGATATTACAATTTCAAAATGATTATACTGCATATTTTATTTATCTTAAACGCAAGAGAATGAATTTCTAACATAAGACCTGTACAAATTTGTGTTTATATAATACTTTGTTGGTGTCACAAATAAATATCAAATATATGCCTATGTGTGTCTTTATTAACTGTCATCTGTTGTTTAATGATCTTTATGTTTTAACTCTCGTTGAACGCCTCTTACAGGTTATCCATGTGGTTGCATTGTCTATGGTTCGGATCCCAGTTTTCAGTATCGTTACTAGATATGTTGTGCCTCATTTTATCATTTAACCCAACTGTCGGAACTAAGTGTGTGTTCAAATTGTGCAATTTTTAAATTGAATGCGATGTAAGATGTTCTAATAAATAAAGTGTTCTTTCGCATTTTCAGCATCCTTTGAAAACGCAATAATTGCAGAAACTGTACAAATTTATATATAGGAGGGTATTAATTCATCTCTAATTTTATACTTACCAGAAAGAAAAACTTAGCCTATTTTGTTGGTTAAATATTTCTAAATAAATCCATTGTTAAATTCTATTTTTATAGAACATTAACCCACAAATTAACTATTAAAAGAAAATAACATTTTTCCGTAATTATTTTGGTAACATTATTTTAGGGTTTCCCTTTTAAAGTATAAATATTATAAGTACCCTCGGTTATGACATGCACTGTTCTCATGTGGAGGCCCGATTTTTCATTTTCTTTCCCCATATCTGGGGTTTTGTGGGCCATGTGCCAGTTTAACTATTATTGCATTATTTTTATTGCATAATTCAACTTAATGTCTTGCCGCATTTTAGCCACATTCGCGTTCCACAAATTGTGGCAAAAGTTCGCCGTTGCCAGAATCGCCCATTTGGTGGTGTTGCATGTGAAATGAGTCATTAACACATTGCCGCATTCGGGAAATTCCATTTTAATGCACGTTGGCCACTTAAATGCCTTAATTTTAATGTCATTTCTGCATTCAAATTAGGTGCGAGGCGATTGTATCTGTGCTAAACAGCAGATCCTCATATTCCCTCGAGTGCGGAAAAGACTTTTTTTTCGGAGGGGGTAAGTATATGCAGTTTTGGCGCGATTTGAAAACGAAACTCATTCCACCAACAGTGCTCTCACGAACCGAACAAAATTAAAAACAAAACCCGATTTCACGCTCCAATAAAACAAATTTAAACTCTTGCGGCAGAGGCGGCGTGTGGCCAGAATGCGCCATTAAGTTTCCCCCCAAAAGCCCAAATCCAAACGCAGGCCAAAACCGAAAACCAAACCCATTTGCCGTGAAACTCTCGAGGAACTCGTTAGCCCAACTGCACTCCAATCGACAGCGAGTCAAACGAGGTGCAGCCCGTGGCCAAAGGCATTCTGGCACCAGGGGCGCGTAAACTAATCGCAAACAAACAAACAAACATTCGCACTCCAGCCAACTTCAACCCACACACAATCATTACGCTCATTCAAAAAAAAAGCAAAAAAAAAAATACACACAAAAAAACAACAAAAAGCAGATCCGGGGCTCATCAAAGTTTCGCTGGCTCGACTGCTAGTGCTGCTGCTGCATTTTTCGGAAATTCAATTCATTTGTGTAATTTTCATTTGAATTACAGCCATCAAAAGTGCCATGGTTAGAGAAGGGGGCGGCCATTCTGGTGGGCGTGGCAAGCGCTGATGGCCCGCACTTTGTGAGGTTTTTACGAGGGAATGCGAAGCTGGTTTCTCTCACTGAAGCCAATTTAAAATAAGTTTTCGTTGAATTGTTTTAAGCTTCCTTGTTGGATTTGTTTGCTTTGTTCTATTTTATTAAAAGTTATTGTGTTTAAAAGTGTGCGATTTGTATTTGATTTAATATTTTTAAAACCGCGTTGAAAATTCTAATATAATCATTGTAAAATTGTCATACGTTTAAAAATATGGTCTCATTTAAATGGATTATTAAAGGACTTTAACTACACATCTTATCTGTGGTTAAAATATTTAAAGTAAGTATCCAATCAATGAAATCAATTAAACAAAAAAGGAGTTTGATTTGCATTATACATAATCTAAAGAGTATTTAACCAATCAGGAAGTCCTGATTTGGCAGTTCCAAATCGTTGTTATTTTTGGTTCTGTTTTGTTTGGTTTTTTTGTTTGTTGTGTTCGAGTATTTTTTCCTCCTGTCGACACTGCCGTCGTTTTTGCATTTATTTTGCGGCTAAAACTTTAATTGAGTTTTAAACCATTTTGCTGGTCTGCCCCGAACCCCGCCTTCGCTTTCACTGCATTCGGATTGTTTATGTGGATTTTTTGTTGCCCAGACTGAGCGGGACGAAAAGCGGGCTTGGCCAGCCTTTGAGTGATGAGATTGGGGTGCCAATGTTTTTCCTTCTATTTTTTTTTAGTTTCCCTGCTTTTTCTTTCAGCCTCTCCGGAAAGCTGGGGAGTATGCAACGCTTTGCCATCACATTAATTTTTTGCAATTTTTATTTGTTAGTTTCGATTTTATGCCCACTTTGCATTTTAAGTGCAGGATGTTTTGAATTATTCCTCTGCTCAGGGGCGGAACTTTCTGTTTAGTTGGTTGTTGGATCCTATAATAAAATATTATTGCCAAACTTTATTTGAGAAAAAATGAGAGCCATTAGGCAACATAAAAATAGACGACAACTAAAAATAAGTTTCCATTAGAGTCTGTACAGATTTCTATGCCTCCGCCAAGAACTGCAAAAAAATGATACGACAAAATCCGATATAAAATACAAATTCTGTAAAAGCCCTAATTTATCATATTTTTATGGCCTGTGTAATGATCTTGAACATTTCCATTTGTTTTCAAATGATACTGGACCGTCCTGTATGCAAACCATTAACAAACTTGTGTGTTTGCATTTACACCTCTAATAAATATGGCATTAAATCCTTTTTGACAACAGGCACCGGTGAGATAGCGAATAGGGTAGCCGGGGCCATCTATCATCATAAAAATAAACCGGACAGAGACCAACGGGAACGTGCTGTCTGCGCCCCTTTCGCCGCAGAGGCTATAAAACATTAAACATGAAATCGGCGGAGGATCGCGCGGTTGGGATGGCGTTAGCTCCCTGGGCCGCAATCAACATCATTAACGCGTGCTCTAAAAGCCATTTATTTAGTGGCCAATGCGGACAGGCTGAGCCCTGTTAAAAATGCTCAAAAGGCACACAGCACAGCGAGTGTGGGAAACTATAAATTCAACGCTTTTAGCATAATTGCCAGAGCATGTGCGTGTCGCTCCGAAAGACGCTCGAGCGTTATGATAAGTGGGCGCTCGAGGATGTAAGCGTCAACACTGGCGAACGTTAAGTTATGCCCACCATCCGGCCATTATTCGCCCGATTCCCCTTGTTGGCTTACCACTCATATTGCCGACAGCCCGGGTAATTGCCATCGTCCTGCACGCTGAACCTTTGTCAAAACACACAGCTATATACGGCTTAATAAACTCGAACAGCTAAGAGTTCGCTAGTGTTTAACCCTTCTGTACGACACAAAAACATTCGAGTGGGGCCAAGGCACTAGTCCGGGATATTTATCGTTTGTCTAATCGAAGCAAATCAGGTCAGGAAGGCGGGCGGCCACCGGAAACGGGGCTCAATGGGGCGTATGCGTGATTTATGCGTTTCAGGACTGGCTTAATTGCCGCAAATATGCGTGCAGGCCTAGTGATAATAAACATAGCTCAAGGAAGATGGATGTGAGGAGAAGTGCCTCATACTGGTGTTATATTTCTGCGAATATTTTTTTATTTGAGGTCGTTTTAATTGAGCTTTGCTTTGTGGAATAACGATTATAAATTAAATATTTATTTATGTAGCTTATTGGAAGACGCGTTACAAAAGGATTAATTGACTTGACTTTTGTCTTGACTTTTTTCTTTCAAATATATTTTCTGGTTTTCCCTTATCTTTCCCTTTCAACTGTAATGCCTTGAAGGTGAATTTATAAAACGATTCCTTTGCTTGCAGAGTGTAAATTAAGCTGCTATAACCTTTCCCATCCCTGATTGAGCCAGGCTCCTTCCAGCCTGAGTCCCGTGTCCACCTGTCTGAGCCAACAAGTGAGCATCCTGAAAGACAAACAAACACATGGCCAATAGCAGGCACGTGCACGGAAAAATGTCGTCGACATTTGTTCCTCCTTGGCCATTTTTGCTTTCACCCTCCTCGCAGAAGGCAGCGCTTATGTTGACGCAGATTTAATTACAATGTTGGTGCTGCATTCACGTTTATGCCACTGCAACTTGGAGTCCGCAGCAGTCCTTGTTATGGCTGTGTGTGTAAACAGCTTCCCGGCTGGAGGGAATCAGGTGAGGGGCAATATCCCCTGGATGGGAATAGTAGCTGCCGCCTTTGTTTAACAACAAATACCCTGAGCCCCGGAGTTGCCGCACATATGATTCCAACTCTCCCCGTCGTTTTTGGGGTGTGCCTCGGCTGACGCTACTTTTATGCACTTTACAAATTGAATTTTCCACTTGCATTCGTCCCGGGCTTTTTCCACTCGTCCAACCCCCTGAAAGACAAGAGGGACCAAGCAACTCTGACAACTTTGTTTCGAACACCTTTTTAGCTACCTTTTGTTGTACGTGAATCATAGTTTTTGCACTTCATATACAAGTGTACTTTTGGTTTACACTGATTCGGGATTTTTTGCTCTGAATGACATGATTTAATAAAAGCTTGTGTTTCAGGAAAGAAAACAAGGTTAAATAAAGACTTTACATATTTTCTTAGGTATTGGCTATGACCTCATAGGATTTCAATGCATTTCAAACGTTGCAATATTTATAGAGCATAAGTTACGTCTTTCGGCACAATTGCATTTCCCATACGCACTGTTAGTTGCAAAGGCTGAAACGAGAGGAAAATGACGACCATATGTCGTTCATTCGACATGCTACATTCTGCCATTGCTAATTGCTTGGAAATTTCGCTCATTTCCACACGAAGGCATTTCAATGGCAGCCGCAACAATTTCAACAGAGGCAGAAGAAGCTGCAACAATTCCTATAAACAAGCTGCAACAAAAAACCGAAAAAAGAGGAAAATCGGTTTGGCCTGGTTTTAAATAAAGTCTGTGCGTGTGTAGGAATTTACTCTCGTTTTCTTTCATTGTGGCCTTGTTTCACTTTTTATCCTTCATACTTTTTTTTGTTTTTGCTCTCCTTAATTTTTTGAACGTGGGTGCAATTAGTTGCTCTTCCAGTAGCGGACTAATTGCCATCCCTTTTATCTCAAACTATACTATTATAAATTATTTTTGCATGCATATCTATAGATTTTAAGAAGCTTATATTAACAGTAGTTAATTGTATTTCAAATTCAAATAAATACCTTTACAACCTTCTGACTCTTGAATCCGGACCTGTATTCACCAGCTGAATTTAATTTTGTTCTTCTGGTTCGTTACTTGCGGAAAATTGTATAGTTTACGGCAGCTGCTTGTTTTCATGACCACAAAATATTTCTAAACTACAGGTTGTATTGTCCTTGGAGGAATACTATAGTAGAGTGGACTGGGCTTGTTTTTTTGCTTTTATTTTTGCTGTAAACTTTTGCGTACATTTACATACAAATATGTCACATAGATATGCCACTTATTCACATATATAGAGCTCAATACATATATTATATTTATATTTAATAGCTAACTTAGGAGTTATGTGTAATGATTTCTTTAGATTTTATTTTCTGAGCTTCTTTCGTAGGCTTAAGTAAATAGTTCTCATCATTGTTTTTTTTTTTTTTTTTTTGGTTGTCCTACATTTATAGATAAATATTTTATTTAATTAACGCGGTAACATTCATTTCAACTTTTATATATTTATGTGGTAGATTTATTTACAAATGAAAACTAAAGCACTTTAAAGATTTTTAAATAGTTTTATTTAAATAGAGCCATGTACGCCCTATGAGCCTTAAATATAAATAAATGTAGTCGGAGTTTACACTTATAGGTTTGTTTTATATTTACATCAAAGTTTCATTAAATTCTTTTAATACTCATTAATGCTTATACTATTTAAATATTTACACTTAGAGCGAGTATAAAAATGCTTTCATAAAATTATCAAAACCAGCCAAAATAAAAGCTGAGTAACATGTTACTATTGTATTAACGAAACTAATTGTTATTTAAGTTAAACTAATTAAATACAATTAAATAAACAAATTGAACAAATAAGCCTATTGTTACCAGCATTTATAAAAAAAAAAACACATAAAACAATTTCAATTGTATTTTTAATATAAACTTTTTACCCAATAAATTACTTAATTCAACACTTTTTTGCTTCGCTATTTTGTGGTTCACATGTTTCTTTTGTTTTGTCATATAATTCTGCTAAATTTACTATGTAAATTCGCTATGTATGAGTATGCGTAAATACTTTCATCTAAATGCAAATTTGATTAACCGTTTTTCCACTTTTTTGCCGTTTCTGTTTTGCATTTTTTGTGGACTATAATTTATTTATTTCCATTTAATTGGATCTATTATGGTTTTTACATAATGCAACATTTTTATTCAGCTGCGGCTATGAAAGTGTGTGTTCTCAACTTAAACCATTATTTTTTTAATCACTTTAGTTGAAATGTGTTTTAAAGGTAATTATAGTTTAGAATTCGAAAGAAATGTAACGAAAACCAAATACTTATAAGGTTTTAAAGATTTTAAATATTTTTTTTTCCCAGAACATTTAGTTTGATACTCATAGTTACATCAAATTTTGTTAGCCTCTTGATTAAACTAAAGCCACAACACTGCCGAACATCGAATGTATTTCCGATCATTATTTGCTGCACATCAGCTGTCACTCTTGGCCAGCTTGGCCTTAACATGATTTTCATTTTGCGCTCTAGTATAAACATATCTATAACTGACTGTGTGTGTGTGTGTGTGTTTGTATGTATATCCCGCCGGTGCACTTGACTGAACTTTCTTCTAGCCTTATTTTCGTTCTTTCGTCCTTATCCCGGTCCTAGTCGTCTGGGCCAGGTTTGATTTTATTCTTCAAGCTGCTTGTGCCCTAAATGAGTTTCGCTCTGCCTTTGCAATTATTTGATTTCATCTTGAAAACTTTCGAGGACAGAGCACTGCCAGCGGGCTTTGACTGGCTGGGGAGGTGTTTTTGGCGACAACCTTATTACCACGAGTGGCCCAAAATGTGCACATTAAATGTTGCCTATGCGTCGCGCTAATAGAAAATGTTCCGATGTGGCGACCGATAAAATGCAGCAGCATTGGCAGCCACTGAACAAAACAGCCAGCCAATATTACTATGCAAATGAGCATTGGCCAGTGCCATTGATGTTGCCGTTTCCACTGCCACTGCCTCTGCCACTTCCATAGCCATTGCCACCGGCGTTCGCATAGGCGTTGGCATTTCGAGTGCTGCGTTGACGCCGCCGCGCCACACGGCGTATGAGAAATGTGAAATATGCGCGATTGCCGCGCCCACATTTGTGGGCTGCTGCCGGAAATGTTGCTCATGTTCTTGTTGTAGTTGTTGTTATTTTTGTTGCTGCTGCTGCTGCTGCTGCTGCTGGTGTACCCACAATGACTTCTGCTCTCCCAGCATCCAGCGGCGATATCGTTGTTGACAACGGTCTCCAGTGAATTCGGCTGGTTTTCCATATTACTCATACGCCACCGACTTGGCGAGACCAACGAAAGCGTCGACAGCCAGAGTAAACCATCCGCCGATGCCGTCGCCGTCGGCAAAGAACTCGATAAACGTTTGAAAATCCCAAATGATTGCGTTTTAATGCCGAGCATTATTTTAGCAAGTAGATTATGCTGCGCCAGTGAGCCTGCAGAATTGTGAAATGCTCCGGGCGGATTACGCACGGGCGTTTGATTGTTATCGCCATTGTTCCCAGCATGGTTGCCTGTGGGAGAAACGAGCGGAGTGGGAAAGGCATGTAGTAATCAGTTTTTTGGTTAGTCGGGTTTATGTTTTCATTTATTTTGTGCGCTCGCCGAATGCCAAATTGGCACTGGATACATTATCATTAAGGGGAGACCGGTCAGGATAAAGGGGATTGGTTGATTGGTGCCATGGAGTGGGTTATGGATTTTGGTTGGCATTAAAGTAAATTGCTCTTCACTGACCGAAAGTGTGCTGTGCACTTAATAGTTCTTTGTGTGTGTGTGGGGGTTGCTTTGCTGGTTAATTCGATGATTTTGTGGCCCTGGATTAAAGCTTCTGAATGCGTTAAGGATTTATTAAGAAGTTCTAGTAGTTTCTGGTACTTGTAATAGATATAAAAAGTAAGGCATTCCCTTTAAACTGAGCTCCTTACCTTCCCCCTTCTCTGTGACATTTATTTAAGCCACTTGAGTCACCGACTTCACCCCGCCTGTTGCCCTTTTCACATATTTACCAGTGCACTCCACCGTTTTACGACGTCGTTGTACTTCTTTATACCGTCAAGGCATTGGACGAGCATTCGGACGGCGATTACTTGGCCATATTTCACCGTTCTTTGTCCGCCCCTTCCCCGTTTTTCAGCCAACACCCCAATGTCTCCGGCTGATTGAGTGTCTTTGTGGCCGTTTCTGCTGCTGTTGGTTTTTATGCACGTCATTGAACGCACTTTGTTGACCGCATGTCAATGTCGGATATAAGTACATATATACGGCAGGAACAGTGGTTGAGAACGGGAAAAAGTGCCAGTTGAAATCGGAGCTTTTAATAAAGTAATAATGAAGTCTACTTGAAAAATCATACCCTAATTGCAGCAATCCATCATATTCTCTCTCTAATTTTCATCCCTTCCTTTTGTATTTTTTTGTATACAGCCCACTGTTAATGATTGTTGGCGGACTGCAGGACCTGCGGGGGCTATTAAATATATTTTATCTGCATTTAATCTTTGGCGTTTGACTTTTCGTCGGCTGACCCCATAAATAACCACAAAGTGGGCTTTAAGAGCGCATTCCCTCGGCTCCGAATGGTTTGTTGGCTGTGCGGAATGGGGCTATTTTCACAACAGTCAGACTCATAAATATAAAGTGATAGATGCGTACGTTGGGAGTGGGTTGCCGCACAAAAAGCGAAATTGAATTGTCTACGAAAGCGACGCGACAATAGGATACCAATCGAATTGAAGCTGAAATGTTATTGAAAAATCCATGGGAAGTTATTAGTTAAGTATCGTTTGAAATCGAAATCAATGGGGAATCCTTTAAAATCCCTTTTCAAAAGTGTTGCGAACGGAAATCCCCAAAGTTGTGACATACATATGGATGCCAGCATCACTTTGATTGTTTACCTTTAACGCCTGCTTAAGGGCAAAGCAAAAATGTGCCACATATTCCCCTTAGCATTTGATTGATGTCAGCGGTATATAGATATAGATTCCGGCGGAGTGGAAAACTCAGTCAGTGCCCGCATTTACGCTTGATTGAGAGCCCACTGAAAAAGGTGTCATCCAGACAGTCAGACAATTTTGATGGCATATTTCATTTGATGTGAGGCAATAAATATTTCCGTTTTGGCCCGGTTTGTTTTTGTTTTTGCCTCTCGGCTTGGCTGAGCCGTACCTTTTTGATATTTTATTTATAAGCCGCGACGATTCGCGGAGAAATCAACGTCGAAACTGTCAATCGACAATCAATCAAAATAAGCATTTCCCGATGGCATTTTGCGGTACACTTTGCCTGCCATTTGTTTTGTATGCAGTTGAAAATAATATTTGTTTTTTCTCCGTTTCAACTTCCAAATAAATAACCCATTTCTTGCATCGTTAGCAAAGAGTTGTGTAAATTATCTATATACGATTTAATTGCCATGAAGGATGCCAATGTGAAAGTCACACCCCGAAAAAATGTTTTTCTCTATATTGATAAAAAAGCTTTTAGTTTAATGGCATAGTTAGGAAACTATTAAAATAAAATTGCGATGGCTTATAGTAAATGTTTCTGGTTTCTTTAAATTGTTTGGTGCCACAAAAACTTTCAACGCTTTATATCTCATGAAAATAAATAATAAATATTTAAAAATGGGTGAAAAATAAATGTTGAGGACACTTTTACTGCGCTCACAGTTTTTAAATGCGTGACTAAAATTCAACATTTCCGAATTTTAAAAACTAAGTAGTGAAAATGTTCACCGATTTTTAAAACAAAATTAATTTTTTTGTTGTTGAATCTTTCGTTGAGAAACTATTCTTCATTGCGCTAATTGCTTCTGAAATTCCCCATCTCGGGCTGAGCGTCTTCATTAAGCTCTCCCAGCAACTTGGAGCCCCAAACTCCAATGTTGAATCAATAAAGTCAACGGCCCACTAGGAGGGAGTTCCTTCCCCTTCCTGCTGCCAGGATATCCAATCTACTGGCTGCCCCTCGATTCGTGAACCCTCTTACAATGAACAGGCATTTTATCTGGTTTTTTGCATTCTCCTTCGCCTCTCTCCTTTTTTGGCGATGGCAATGCACGAATGCCTCCGGAGCCAGAACTCTGTTGCCAAAAGGGACAGGATCGAGGATGGGCGAATGGTCGGATGGGCGGTACAAGGACCAGCCACGCCCCCAGTGAAGCAGTTTTGGGCTTCAGTTCATTAGTGCAGTCGGTTGGACGGCATTTTCCGGACGCGTGCCTTAAATAATTGCATTTTAAATGCAATAAACACAAGTAGAAATAAGACCCGAAAAAAGAGGAAACCAGAATATTATCAGTCGGACATTTTGGCAAGGATTAAATTCAGCCGAAAAGCATACAGCAGAAAATTTGAATAGCCAATGTTTATGGCTAATTGGCTGGCTGCGGTCGGAATTCCCTATCTACTATCATATCCGGCGGGCGTTTTAGCCGCTAAATTTGACAGCCCATAAAGCGAATGCAACAGGACACGTGTTTTGCCCACACATACTGTTAACACACACACACACACATGCAAGCAGATATACACTCGCAAATGGCAGATAGATGGCTGGCCAGATGGACTTTGTCGTTGACATGGCCAAAATGTCAGTGTCAATCAACAATGTCGCTAGTTTTTATTGCCCTACTCAACTTGTTGTTGGTGTTACCATCGCCCGATGGCGTTTTTATTGCTACCGAATTTATTTGACTTGCAGCAGAAGGGATCAACAGATCAACACCCAGCCACAAAGTCAAAGCGACATGTTTTCAAATTTGTATAGAATGCATATACCTACATTGTACAAGTTTTATTTGTTTCGCAAATTTTATTATTTTGACTTTTTGGGTTAAACGGTTAGTTGAATTTGTAAATAGGGCTTCAATGGGAATTTAAATACAGCTGAAGTGTTAAATAAAAAGCGCCTTCATGAGATTTCAATTTGTAAAAATCACATTCGAATCTTTTTAGTTTGAATTTTGTATTTTTTCCAAGTCCTGGGGAAATAAAAACCTTTATTGCCATTTAAAGTTGCTCTGACTTTTTATCTGTCTTTCCTTTTGCGAATTTCGTGTTCTTTGTTTAACAAAGTTATTGTGCTGTAAGCCCCATTTATTGCTTCTTCAGTCAATGCTTATGGCACTACACAAATCCAAGATGCCGACAGCAACGGAGTGCAATTTGTATTTGCCACGGAATGCGGATGAACGAGAATAACAACAAGCCAGCCAACTGTAAGCGTCACTCGGCAAAGAACGAGAAGAATTTAATTAATTTTTAAGGCTTTTGCTAAACACTTGGCCCCACAAAAGTGCTGGCCATATTGCGAGCCGTCCAAGTTTTTGGCCAAGGAAATGGTATAAAGGAAACATTGAAATTATGAGATCACACGGCGACGCTCTTGAAATGTGAATGCCATGAAAGGAAATGCAGCCAAGGGGTGCAACTTTGCCCTCGGAATGTGCAAATATAGTAGGAAATGCACCATGGTCCGTAAAATGCCACTAAAGACGAGAAAGCCATGAAAAGGAAAGGGGGATCTGGGGAATGGAGAAGGGTTCGAGGGGAGGGGGAATTGTCGGGAAAGATGAAAGCCTGTTTGGAGATATAGTACTTACCTTGGGCACCGTCACGCCACTCCTCAACCCCATAATCAGGCAAAGCGTTAGCCGAGTCAAATTTATTTCTATGACGTCTCTTGCCATCTTTATATATTTTTTACACATTTTTAATTTTATGCAGCAAGCGTCAGTCAAGTGGGAGAGATATAGTTCAGGGAGAGTTCAGGATAACACGGTACGTGAGTTATGGCAGTTGTTGTTGGTTGTTGGTTGTTGGTTGTTGGTCGTCGTTGTTGGAAGTTGGTTGTTGTTGTTGGTTGGAGAAGGGGCATAACATGAAAGAAATATTCAAATCGAGGAAGGTTTCGGGGAAACAATGAAGAGAGAAACCATATAAAAAGGAATTTAGTAATATACATTTACACAGATGCCATGGGTAATTGTATGCTAACGTATTTTTTATTTAATTTTGCATTTATTTGCATTTAATAGCCCTTTGAAGGGGCAACAAAGCCGAGGAACAACCAACAAAGGGGCAGAAACGTAAAAAGAAATTGCATGCAACTTTTACTCGATGGAGTCGAAACGAGGTGGGCTAAATGGATGAGGATGGGGTGCGGTCGGTGGTTCCATGATGATTTGTGTTTTCGGCTATTTGCGATGATTACTGTAATTTCAAAATGTTCGGGGTCTTATCGCTTTCACTTAGCAAATCCACAATGCTTTTAAACCGAAGCAAAGTGATTTTCCTCAAGTACAATTAAAATGCCTTTTCAAGAGAACAATTGCGGATTTAAGATTTGGTAACCCAAAGGTATAGGTTACTAACTGTTGATTTTAATGAATAGTAACAATATTATTTAGCTTTAAAAAAAAAACGATTCTTTTGTGGCATTTATGATTGTTTGCCCTACGTATATAAACCAATTTAATGCTTTGTGCTGACTGTGATTTCGTGCTTTGCAGTGCATAAAATTAAAAACCCATTATTGTGTTATATAATTCATGACCAAGCAAAAAATTATGCTGCGATGCTTATGGTTGAAATTTAATCAATTAGGGAGTTGATCGAATGGCTCTGAACAGGGCGTAATGAAAATTTAAGCCTTTTACCATATTAGTTTGCTCTTTAAAGTGTTCATTAAACAGCAAACTTTAACAAGTGAAGGGTAGTTGATGGTTAATAACGAAATTATCTCTTACCATAGCTGCGGTTCAGCAAGGACATCTCTGAAATAATAGCTGTTGTTGGTGTTGGCATTTCTGAAAAAAGATTGATTATTATATAATTTCTACAAAATGATGTATTAATTGACGATGCTTTTTTCTATAACTAAATGAACTTTATTGCGAATAAATTTCCGCGGGACATATACAATTTATAACAAAGTGGGAAATAAATAAATTAATTGAAAATTTTTTCTCATACCATCCAGCTTTATATTTCCATCAGTTTCGCCCAGCGAATTCTTGGCCACGCAGCGATATGTCCCAAAATCGTTTGGGCCAACGGCACGGATTTTTAACTTCATGTATTTGGTGTAACCGCTGACGGTTGATGTGGTCTCGTATTTATCGCCAGCCCTCGAGGTGTCTGAAAGTGCGAAAAATGTGGAAAAAACTGTCAGACAGAGAGGACCCTTAAAGCGGACGTTCAATAAAATGCAGTGAAAATTTTCCAGCAACAGCGTTATGGTAGGAAAATATGTACGGGGGAAAAAATCAATTAATTAATGTCACCTGCACTGGGTTGTAACTACTGGTCATGTGCAGTGAAGTGAGTCACATTTCCAATAGGGACTCCAACTAATTACGTCCGTTCCCCTCCACTTTCCCATTCAGTAAGTGTGTGTATGTGTGTGTAATTAAAACTGGCGCAGTTCTTCAGCCATTTCCATTGCCATCGCCAACTAAAACTTTTCTCATTAATCAGTGAAAATCTAAAAGAAAAACTTTTGTTCTGCTGCCGTCTGCGGCTTTAATTTCGTTCCATTTCGTTTCGTTTCATTTCGTATTGTGTTGCCTACTTTTTGGGGTCTTGCTGGCAATACGAAAACGAGACCAAGTAGCTGGCAGTAAGTAGCATTAAATATATAAACTTAATTTCACTTTGATTGCTTGGCGCATTGTAAGGCGATATCGCATGTTACCCATACGTCATGTTGTCCTTTGTGTCTATGCCTGTATGTGTGTTCCTGTGACAAATGTCTTTAGTTTTTTCCCCGTTTTCTTTTTCGTCAGCCCCAAACAATGGGGGAAAAAACAATTTTCCACATAACACCCAACTTGCATGTGGCCCCGGCTCCTGCGTCTTCTTTTTACAGCCCTAGTCACCTTTTGTGATACTTCTCCATCGCTCCACATGCCACAACTATCCGAAAGACCCACATGTACGTTCCTCCGACACGCAAATATATAATTTTTCTCATAATCATCGGCGGCAGCAATTCTTTTCCCTGCCTGCCAAGTCTCTCAAGGAACTTTATACTTTTAATACCAGCCGCATTAAAGGAAAGTTTCGGTACCAAGAAACTGCTTGTTCTACCTTCGAAAATACTATATGTTTGTATATAAAGCATGCCCTGAAGACAGGGCAACGAGTTCCACAAAAGATTTTTTCATTTTTTCCTAACGGCTTTGCAACGTATTGTTTAAAATTTTTCTAATGAGTTGAATAATTAAATAAAAATATGGTATGAAAAATAAATTTGAATTGCAGGTTCCCTTTCTATAAAAAATAATTTAGTGGTTTCCAATAATGACCCACATTTTTAAGTTTTTATTTTTTTATTGTAACCTCGACTGAACCATAAATACTGAAATATAAAAGTTTTATATGAAAAATTGTATAAAAAGCGCAGTTTTTCTTCTTTTCCGGCAACTATCGTTCCCATTGCTCTTTTCATAGACAGTCGTACGCAACTCTATGGGAAAGCGGTTAAAATTTATTACCCAAACTTTTGGTGGCTGTTAGCCATTCATCATGGCCGTGGCTTTCATATCTCATATCTTGGTTCGCATTTTCCTCGCTCTGCCTGAGTTTGTCGCCTGTGCGTGTGTGCATATGAAATGTCATATTTCCGACTCGGAATTTCCTACCTGGGAAAGTCTAAGCCTGGCCATAGTTCTTCCTTTGAATTTGGGCATGGGCTATGTCTTTCTTATCGAACAAACAAAGTGACATTTGAGCATAAAATGAAACCAAATGACAGTTCATCAAATGCTCGTCTATATTTAGCTCAATTTTTATGCATATGAGTCATGAAGCTACGTTTATATTGGATTGGATTTGTGGCTAAGGCAGCTGAAATTACAAATACTTTCGTAGAGAATTTTTTTTTGCACAATTGTTCACATAGTTTCGGCAGAATGTAAGTTGAAATCACGCTTGTAATTTTAGACAAAATAGATCGAGCGCATAAAGTCCGAACAATGATATTTATTTTGCTTTTTAATTTACCAACATTGCAGTGAGTTCCGGCACCGAATTCATACTGTTGCATATTTCCGCATCCCTCTGGTTTTTTTGGCGCCCATGCAAATATGCCAGCGAATGTGATTATGTTTAAATAATTTCCGCAACAAAATAATGTTTTCTGACAGTTTCTCATTTTCTTTATTCAATTTGCGTTGTGCATTTCCAGCGCATCAAACATGTTATTGATTGTTTTTGATTATTTCAGTTTTGAATGCACATAATTTTGATTTTATTTTCAGAGCTCTGAGGGTAATTAATGTTATTGTGCTTTGAAATATTGGCGTACAACGACAGATTAAAGTTAAGGTTCAATTTTGAAGAACTATAAAAATGGAAATGCACTTTATGTGAATATAAATCTCAGCATTTTGCAATATTTGCTTTTGAAAATACTAACATATTATTTAAAATAAATAAAAAAAATTACGAATAAAACATTAAACTTTTTAATGAATTTGTAGGTCTTCATTTTATGTTTTATCTTGATGCGTGCGTACTGTTCGAGAAGCTTTCTGCTCGGGTCGTTCTGACACATGTTCAATCTCTGTCCGGCTTCAACTTTTCGGCTCGCTCGGAAAACTGTCCGGTGTCAATCAGGGAAAACTGTTAAAACGTCACCCCATAAAGAAGAGACACTTTAAGGCAGCGCAGTTCAAAATGCCACAATGTCTCCGAATCCTTGTATGCAGTTGTATGTAAATGTGCATTTTAAGCCTGTCACACAGTACTGCCACGCATTTTATGGCGAACCAGTGCACGTGAAAAGTACGTAAAAAAGCCGAAATCTTTCATGTAAAACAATAAAAACAGGACACCACACCAACATTCACTTGCCCTCCATCGCCACTGTAAAAGCAAAATAAACTGGATGAGCTCAAATGGGGTTTCCGCATTCGCAACTGATGCAACTTTTAATTTTGCTTCCCTTTTTGGCATTTCCCATGACAATTTTCCGCAGACTGGACTTAAGCGACCAAAGGAGTCTGAGGTGTTGGTGTAAATGGCGATTACATTGTAAGCTCACTTGCAAAAGTTTTCCAGTTAATAAATCCCGCTCTTTTGTTCGATTTTATTTACAGCCAATCATTTTGGTGGGACTTTAACTTACCAGAAATAATCATATCTCCACGTTCTGTAGTCCAATAATTAATCGATGCAGGATAGGCCTCAGTGTGACACTCTAGTATGACATCTTGGCCCACATAAGCTCCCTCCAGCTGATTTGGAATCGAGAGCATTGGAGGAACTGTAGATAAAGGACAGCATGTTCAATTATATTTAAGAATGTAGTAACTAATGATAATTCAATTTTATAAAGCTCCCTAATTGTTTAGTTAACCCTATTAAATATCAAATACTTATTGCTAGGTTGGGTTGTGTCTTTCTTTACCACTTAAACATTTCTACAATTTTATTTCCAAAAACAAATTTGTTTTATTTTTAAGCTTGATGCCTCAGAAAGTAATCCGTATCCACTATCTTCAAATTGAATCCATTATCCCACCAGCTGCAGTTGCCAGTATACTATACTAGTAAAATATTGTTTTTCGACACTCTTGGCAGGGGAAAATCCCTTTTTCGGCCCCAATACCATTGCCCAAATACGTCACGGACTTTTCATCAGCTCTACGGCTACAGCAGAGTGTTACGGAGAATTTTGCATACCATTTTACGTGAGTTTACAAACTGTTTTTGGATTAAAATGCACTCAGTCATTAAAAGTGCGCCTGGGAGCGAGTGATTGTGTCTCGGACATGGACGTCCATCTCAACTGGGCGTGTGTGCGTAAATAGCTTTTGTTGCCGCTGTTGATACTGGGGGGGAAATGGCTGTTTGTGTGTGAGTGGATGTGGGTGTGGGTGTGGGCCACACACACATGAACAACAAAAGCTGCTCTGCGAATGGTGAACGCATTTTGGCCACGCACACATCACGGGGGCACAAAATAACACCTGCCGACAAACAAACAAACAAACGCCCACAAACAAAGCGAAATGAGCGCAGTGCATCGGCCCACCAAAACTAGAGATGGCAGAAGGGGAAAACTAAAGGGTTAAAAAATGAATTTATTTATATTTAAAGGAAAAATTATGTGGCAACATTTCAAGGCAGTGGTTGAAGTAATATTTAAAAAATATATACAGATTAAAACTGATAGTAGTATAACTGAATAAACTGAATAAACACTTGAACGTTGCATGTTTGTTAACAAATCTGGCTTAAGCTACCATATCTTAACCTGTCCATCTCTAACACTTTTGGCCAACGGCAGTGGGATACGCATAGTCAAACTCTCCCAGGTAAATTAATTTAACGTGACTGCAGCTTTTGGTCGATTTTGGCCAAGTGCGTGGGCTGTTCGCCACCCAGCCCCGCCCACTTTTCCGTCCATCTCCGCTTTGTATGCCAATGTTGAGGACGCGTTGCGGTTATTGCCCCAAAAACTGCATTGGCAACATGCAGCAAGGGGGAAGGGGTTGAGGGGGAGGGGGAGGGGGAGGGGGAGTGTTGCTGCCTACCTTGTTTTGTGTATTTTACGCATTGAATGCTGCGTTCGTCACAACCACACTTCCCATTCCCTCTTCCACTTTTCCTCGTGTCATAAATATTGCAAGAGAGTTGAGCCCGAAATGGATTTTACGTTATTTTTCCCGTTTCCGTTTTACGCAGCCCAGCAAAATACTGATGAACTGAATTCGTTTAAGCCGTGAAAATGGTTACTTTTGGGGGGAATTATAACTTGCCGCGAATGCCACAACATTTTTGATGTACACGCAAATTAAATTGAAATATTTAATTTTGCTGAGGCCAGCAGAGGTATAAATTATTATACAATGTGGTTACATATTATTCGTTTTCAATACTCGAAAATCGAATGATATTTTTTATCACATTAAATGTATTACATTTTTTTATATTTGAAGGTTTTTAATAAGTTATATAAGGGTTGAAGTTCTGAAGTGAAAATGTGGCCTTAAAACAAACTAATGCAATTTAAAGGTAAAACTTATGAACTCAGTTTGTAACTCCTCCGCAGACTGCTAAAGCTACCCCCTATGAACTCCTGTCTAAGCCAACGAGTCAACCAGTTAGCCAACTTTGTGTGGCCATCTAAACGTTTGACATTTACTCACATTGCACTCGCAGATGGACCCGTTTGCTAATCGAAGGCGGGACTCCGTTGGAGGCGACGCACAGATATGCGGCCATGTGCAGGCGACTCACTTTGGTGATGTGCAGCAGCTCGCCGTCGACCACGTTGACTGAAAGGGATTCCCGATTCCAGGGAAATGGGGGAGAAAAGGACCTGGTTAAGCCGAAGGGAAGAGAGAGGGGGTGGGGAGAGGGATCAGGGTCACTTACCGTGCTCCCCGCCAATTAGCATCTCCTCGCCGTCCTCGCGACGCCACATGACATAGGGTTCTGGGTAGCCACGTGCCTTGCAAACGAGAGAAACATTCTGACCCTCGCGAACCACCATGTCATTGCTGGTCAGACCCTCGACAATCATCGGTGGAACTGCGGGGTGAAACGGAGGAAAAAAAAACGGAGGTTAATCGAAGGCCAATGGGTCACACTCGGGGTCAGTGGACAGCGATGGGGATTAGCTATAGTTTGAGTACTCACCCACCACCTGCAAGTAGCCCTTCCTGGAGCGCATGGGATCCTGTGGGGAATCAAGAGATTAAACAGCTCGTTCTGGGAACTAACTTAAGACTTGAACTCACTGTGTTGACTTGGCACATGTACCACCCACGATCCGTTTCCTCCACCTCTTTGATGTGTAGGTACCACTGAAATAAAATATAATTTTAAAGGGAAAAAATTATATTACATATGGTTACTGCTCTTCTAAATATAGAAATATTAATAAATAGTATTTAATTTTTGGCCGATTTTTTTCAATTTTTATGATGTAACCCCATTCCAAATTTCCAAAAAATGGAATTCCTAAGCTCATAACTTTTCCAATTTTCACTATTACTTTAAATTCCAATTGAATAATCAATTTGAAAAACCACTGAGAGAAACGAAAATGAATTCTTGTTATTTTAGTCAATTAAAATTAATTTTCGAAAATACTTTGTATTATTTAAATGTTACAGTGGCTTACAGTCGAACTCACCGATCGATGGTCATTGTAGGTCAGGCTGATGCGGCTGTTTTGAGAGATAACATTGTGATGAATGGACAGAATGGTCTGTGTGTCCACCCGCACCCAGGCCACCTTGTATCCCTTTAGGTTCTCCACCACGCAGGCCATCAGAGCATCTCGACCCACGGAAACTGTGACATTGGCAATGGGTTCCGCGAATCGCGGAAAGTCCGAATCTAAAAGTAACACATACCAAGATTATTTAGATTATTAATTTTGTAAGCGGAGTCCATTTCGTTTGAAGTTTCCTCGTTCGTTTCCTCATTCGTTTTCCGCTGGCAGAGGCATAAAGGAAAAACCTCCGACCTTTTCCTTGCATTCATTTCCCGCTGCACTGCGGCACATTGCGCATACGTCCCGTGTGGCCCTCAAAAAAAAAAAAAAAAAGGGGAAAAACGGGAGCATATTAATTACCTTCCTGTGCCGTCTGTTGGCTGTCCAGGCGCGTGTGTTTGCCTGCAAGGGAAACGAACGAAATTAGGAGCGTTAGAACATTTAATTAATTTAATTCCTTCGTCTGAATTCCAACTGCCCGTTCCAAATGGGTAATAAACAAAAATTAATTAGCCACGCCATCCAAAAACTTGCTCTTGGACAGAAGACAGGAATGAAATTGTGTCTGTCGCCATGTTTTGCTGATTCGGCAGAAATTTCTGCTGCGCTTTCAGATTTTTGTTTTTAGTTTCATTTATTGCATTCGTTCCTATGACAAAAGTTCAAGTTTAATTGTTTCTGGCTGCGTTGGCACTTTTTCCCCATTTTTCCCCAGCTGCAGCGGAAACTTTTACTGTTCGAGCACGGCAGGAAATTTTGCGCAAAAAAAAAAATGTGAAAGGTGTTGGGCAGGAAATTTAACAAATAAAAACTTGACGGAAATTGCAAACTAGCGCTGTTCTGTTCGACATTTTTGCCCCCGAAGTCAAAGAAATCAAATTTGTTTGCGACTGTTATTTGCAGTATCGGGACATTCGCTTGGTAATTCGTCTTCACCCTTTTATTTTTTACGACCCTCAGACAGTTTACAAATGAGTTTCGCAAGCGTTGAGGAAATTCGAGCTAGTAGCAACTCGCAATCGCCTTGAAGAACGCTGCAAGCGTTGTCCGTAACATAAAACGGGTAAATTGAAAAACGCTTAAGCATTTTTACAGCTTTTAACACGGCGCCGCATATTGAATTACGTTCACTACAGGCAGTCAGTCCTCCTCCTCCTTTTCCAGCAGGACAACTGCTGGCCATTGGCTTGCCACCCGCTCCCCGTTTAGCGTCCCCTGTTGGATTTTGAGCTGGCACTTTTCAACTCCACTTCCCCGAGAGCAGCTGCTGTTTATGCCTTTTCAGCTGCGAAAAAATGCTCAACACGATTTTCGCTGTTGATTTACGTTTTAGCACGTTTTTCGTACAGTTAGCCGTCGCTTTTCCTACTTTCCTTTGCCCAGCTCCTCTTCCTTCTCAGTTTTTTGTTTCTCTTTTGGTTTAACTTGGCAGGTTGCATTCTGCTGCTTTCCGCCATTCCAATGTTGTTTCACTTTTCCTTTGCAATTTAATGAGCAGCTTTTTATCGCCACCGAGATTTGTCCCCGACTCCTTGGCACTTAATCCAACAAATAGCACCTGCCGTTCTCTCTAGCATTCATTCTGGCAATATAAAATGAACCCCATTTGACTGCGCTTAGCCTTTGCATTCACAATATATATTTAAGTTTCTTTTTGGCTTTAATTTGTTGTTTAGCCCCTGTGTGTCAACACGCGGCTCTCATGACACACAGGCCTCGACTCCAAACTCCAGTGGCCAGTCAATCAGCCAGTGCTCCATTCACGGACTGGCGTCCGAGATTCTGTTTGTCCTGCGTCCACCTGCACCCATTGGTCCCTTTGTGCAAACCCAGGCAGCCATTCAATTTGTCAGGCTCGACGGCGGAACGCTCCCTCAAAAAACCTAAACCGCCTTTTGAACTTTGTGCAAACAGAACGCAGCAGGAAAAGCCGGAGTTGAAAAGTACCAGGCACTCTCAATGAGCGAGCCCTTCAGTCCTGATGAGCTGGGTTAATACCCAGTAAAAAGTTTGAGTGGTAAGCCAAAAATATTTAAAAACCTTCTTCACTAAAGTAAAAGCATATACAAAAACATATACAAATTTTAGATATAAAAAAAAAATTCCCCCTATTATTCCTTATTTGAATAAATTCAAATTGTGTTTATATTTTAGCGAACGCACAAGATTTGTTTACTTCTTAAATGCACTTAAATACCCTTAACACTTTTAGAAAGCATACAATGTTAGGCATACACAACTTTTTTAGTAATTGTATTTATTTATTTTGTTTTTGAAAACTTGCTTTAGCTTTTAAAAGTGTAGAGAAACTGAATACGTTGGCACACTCTACTTTAAAGAAGCGATTAAATGGCTTTAAAATTTAAGCTGAGCTGAGTGAACTTTACAGACGCGCATCGAATCCGCAATGCAGTCGTGTTCCAGTTATTGGCGGAATTTAAGTCCACTGTGGGAAGGAGATAACGATGGATGGGGACAGGTTGCGGTGACGGTAAGTTAGCCAGGCCAAAAGCAGCTTTCACCTTACCATTCTCCGTTCTAATCTCGACGGCCTCCGCAAACCAAATGGTCGTCATAAACAAAGGACACACACAAAAGAAAACTTTTGGCCAGACGTGCCGCCTACTCGATTTTCGCCAATGCCCGCAAATCAACTTCCAGAACAGTGGAATTATAGTTAAGATAACAAAACAAAAATATTGCTTTTTGAAATGAGAGTAAAAGTTCAAATGAGAAAATGTAAAAATTTCAAAATTTTAACTGCAGTCATCACGTTATTGCTCCTAAAGTTATAAGGTTATTTAAATATACTTGATATTTAGTTTAAATAATCTTTAGACGAATAAACAATTTATTGCAATTATTTGCAATGTTAAATGTTTATCCAAACCTTATTCAATTAGTTATATTTTTTCTAACTTCTTTTTAATGGAGATAAAGATTATGAAAGCGTTTGCTGCGTTACAAATTATTGTGCTCACACATTTGTCTTGTTTTCTCCACTGTAAGCTGCTTATGTCCTTGCTGAGCTTTTCTTCCGCTTCCCTTTTTATGGGCCCATCTTTTTTGTTGGCCATTTTTTCCGTTTATTCAGCCTTGGGTTTTCCCTTACATCTGGGAGGCGGGGGGACGGAACTCGAAGAATACTTCGGCTGGCCGTTTATTGTCGTTTATTTGTCTTTTTGCCATTTTTATATTTACGCATATAATCGCTTTCAACGCTTGGCGCCGCCTTGGGAGATGATGCTATTGCAGGGACGTGGGTCCTGACGGGGCTTATAAATATGATGTTATCGCTTTTTATGGTCCACTTTTATTGCCGGCAATCAGTCTTGCGTTTTGTTTGCTGATTGCTTGCCATTATTCAAATGTATTTGTTTAATTCCCGGGGATTGGCAGCCACAAATCATTTTAAATCCGCAATATGTCAACAAATATTTGGACAACGAGCACATTGCTTTCCTTTTTCGTATCGCAGATGCTTCTTGTGCGGGTCATTATGGCGGCTTATGGCGTTTTGTTAAGTGGACATCGACCAGGACACTTTGCGGCCCATTACAAGCACCCACTCAAGGGCTCAACCGCTCAACCATTCTACTTGCCAGCCGTGCAGCTTAATCAGCTGCGAGCTCATAATCACATTGCGTATACGTAATTAGTTTAGCGTTTGACAAGGCGAGCAAATCTTCAATGGCCTACAACTTCTGTTTCTGCACTCCGTTCTCCTGCGAAGGTTCCACAAACTGATTATACTTGCACTTTGTTGACAAACGAGCTGATTAAATGCCGGCTCTCGGTCATTATGCAATTAACTGGCAACTGACTCTGCTCGCTGCCTTTATTGGCCAACACCCAGCTGCGCCTGTACGTGTGCGTGCGTTTAATAAGGTGGCCGAAGGCAGTGAGGCCTATTTACATTAAAGCTTAAGTGGCAAAACAAGACGATTATATTGAATTTTGATTACCGATGGTCTAAACAGGCGGGATCATTAAATAACTCGAATGGAAGATGGCTTTAGGCGGTGTTTTGACATTTTAGGGTTGATTAAACGAGTGCATTCAGGGGTTATACAAATATATCAGTCGCTAGGTGAAGGCAAATAAAATGCATGGTGCATGGGTAATACTGAAGATTAAGTAACTAAGATGGTTACTTATTTTTATAGAATATTTTTAATCCATCGTTAATTGGTTACCATAGTTTATACAACCCATTTATTATTTATTTCACGTTTATATCATATTTTCTCTGTATTTTTATTTACAAAGAATTTACTGCAAACCCAACAGGTTAGCAACTGTTAATCACAAGTGCAAACTTTACCTGGCAGCATATAAAATCCTTTGTGAAAATTGTTTGCTTTTTGTCACAGAGAGAATACCAACCAGATTCCCGTCTGGGAAAACTCAAGCCGTAGAATCCCATGAATTTGTGCACAGGGAATTGAGGGGGTGGCTCGAAAAAGTGTCTAAGAATGCAAAGCAAATATCTACCAGACAATATATGTAGTGCAATATGTTCAGGGAAAACAGAGGAGACCGCAGTACGAATTGCAGATGCGGCAAAAGAGCATTTCGCCAACTTGGCAGCCAAATGAACTCGAAGTGAACTGGAAGTGCACATGTTGCAAGGATGCATACTTATTTGTGTCTCCCCGCCGAAATCCCAGCTGTGTAACAAGTTTCTTTTTTGACAACAAGACAATGGCTGGCTGCATTGAGCGGTTCAGTTTCAGGTTATCCCTGATCGATGAAGCGATACAGAAAACTCATTAAGAACTTTAATTAAATCGAGAGCTGGCGAGTGCGAAAATTGCAGTGCAGTGCAGAAAACTCATTATTCATAACGACACGAAGGCAGAGGACTGAAAATCTGGGTCCAGCTGGAGTGGCGATGGCAGCTGCAACAGCTCAAGTCACTTTGCCCCCACCCGAAGCGAACTGTCGTGCTGCAAGTAAAAAAAAAAAAAAAAAAAAAACAAAATATGTGCGAAAATATGTCGGAAAGTGAGCGAAAACATAAAACATGCCAGCCAGCGGAGTGCGGATCCCCGCTCAACTGCAGCTCCTTGTGACTTATGTTGCTAGCTCGTCGGATTCAGGATTCAGGACTCGGGATAAAGCATCCTGCGGACTGGATCCTCTAGGTGTTGGCCATGGCTTCATTCACCCGACAGCAGCTCCGCTTAAATTGCGCTTAACGTTTTAATAAATGATTGTGACAAACGCAGGAGAATGGATTGCGGGCAGCTGGAACTATGCAAATATAATTGCGGTCTGCTCACTTAAGACTGGGAGGGCGCAATATAAAATGCACAATATAAATGCAACCGTTGGAGATAAAAAGAAAACCACTTTAAGGTAGATAGTGTTGGCATTATTTCGGAATATTTTAATACTGA